GGAAATTTCTCAATCACACCGACAAAACTAATATCAGCCTGAAAGAAACCGAAAATAACGCAACTCATTGGGTAGACCTCCATTTACTATAGGAGAGCGCCCCCACGGAACACAACCTCGATCCGAAATCTTGGAGTCGATCCCAACTAGCCGCGATGGTACAAAATGTATGCGGTAGGAGTCGCCCAACTCCACAAACTTTCTATTCTAAACTCGCAGCGAGAAAAGTCCGTGACACGCTGTGCCCGTGAAAAAATGTCAAGCCCATCCTTATACTGCTCACCACCCAGCAACCAAAATACCAACATAACTCTTATAAGGCATGAACCTCCATTATTGCACACCACCCAACTGTTCTGTTTGCCCTTTTACTTCATTATTTTCCCGAAACGCAAATGTGGCACAAATGAAAAAATTATCTATTGATATTAGAATCACTATCAATCATGAGCAGAAGCGAAACAGAAAGCCGAAGCCTCCATACAATCGATCTAGCAATCTATATTGACAAGAGCTTGTTGCTAAGAATTAACTGATAGGTCGGCACTATATTAGCATGCCGCCTGAGGCGGAGATAATCAGCATAATTTCTGTTACACAAAGAGGGCTCTAACCCCTATAGTAACCGTAACTAAAATTGTATCTACCACTCACCAGGGAAACGAAAATTCAGAGCTAAATAAATAATTGCTTACGCAAGCTCAAGCACTTTCTGCATTTACATAACACTCTCTCCAGGAAATTAGGAACTGCACAACACAATAACATGAAGCATAAATTCAGCCGGTGAAAAGTTCTACCTGTTCCAACCGCCATCTCTGACCCGCGTGAACCTTCTGAGTTTAGCATAAAAGCTGCGTTCAACACACGACTTATAAAGAAACCAACCAAACGATCTAAGATTGCGCACACCAAAATGGATATGTCATAGCTTAGTAAAAAACGCGAGAAGAGAAAATCAAGGCGGAACAGGCCCAAGAGAAATTGCAAAGTCGCACAATTCCTCAAATAGGAAGTAAATAGTTACAAAACCGGGAAACCCGAGTGCTAATCAGTCATTAGAAAGACCTACCATCCTGTACCATTCAATTGCAAAAAGACAAGAAATTCACATAAAAGAGGAGGTCTATAATGAGAGAAACTGAAGCGTATATGGCAAAATATCGTTGTGTCGATCGTACGATACTGGAGCACTTTTTCGAAGAGAACGCGAATTCACCAGAACTCTTCCCGACACTCAAATATCTGAAGGAATACTGAAGGATATGGAAGAACGTGGCCATTAAAAGTTCGAAACACCCCAGAACAATATTTTAAACCATACGGTGAGATCAAAAAAAGAATCATGCAAAAACACTCATAAGCAAGACGACCAACATTTTCGATTGCGGGAACAATTTCGATAAATAATAGAGTCCATCAACGCAACATTGCGAGTCCCCTAACAAAATCGAGAGATCAATTTGCGTCACAAACTCATATCTTAATACACATGCTATGTGCGCTTTATATCACGACAAGCGAAGAAATAAGAAACACCCATAATTGCTATAATGATTTTTCCAATTATGACATTTGCCCATGACATGACGCCACAGGGGGCTGATGACGCTTGTCTATTCTCTCACAATCCTCATTCTAGCGAATTTTTGCTTGACTAATCTCCGTAGACACGTCTTCCGATTTACGTTGAACCTTCACATTCAAAATAACAAGTTCGTTCTTCATCTACATATCTACTCATCTTAATTCTTCTTATTTCTCATTCATATTAACGCAGGCCTAATGAGAACATCCAAAATCCACGAAAGACGTGGAATCACAACGACGCGGAGCGCGAGATTCTTTAGCCGTATGGACTATTAATACTAACTTGGATTATTGAGGCAGATCGAGTATTTTACCCAATATTTGAAAAAAGATTATGCAAACAACCACTTATTTAGCAACCCTTATAATCCATTTCGTTTTAATTTTGTTTAGTCCCACTTAAAGGTTGAAAATTTCTGACCTTTATAGATTGGCGCTTGTTTTGTCTTTGTTGCATTGCTGGGTCTGGTGCGATACGAATTTACTTATATTTGTGAGCCTCTTTGACACTATGATAGGTTTACCTACGACATTTATTTTCCCTCATTTCCAACCTCTGTTTTTTGCGCAGAGCGTCTCCTTTGCATCATTGATTCTTCTGAGTTACATTGTGCTTAGAATAAATTAACACTAGAACTCAAGTAATTCATTGTAACAATTGATAAAAAGTCTAGCGTTCTCTGCGCTAGTCCAGAACGCGTCACCATTCTTATCTGTGCTAGAATATAGGACACTTACTTTTAATCATGATTTCTAGTATCACTATTATCTTCGTTCACGGCAAGATACCGAGCCGAACGATTGAGACTAATAATGAATACGTAAGCAGATTGTGCCCTTGGAACTCTCCTAACGCTCTCAGAGAATATGTTTTCGTGTACCCACTGTCCGGGCGTGTCGAGAAACCGTACGCCCGTCGCAGTTTTCGCTTCTGAGAATGAAACCGTGTCGTGATTATCGGCTTATTGCCAACTCAAATCCCTACATCGGCTCTGCTTAATGTGGACTTGCCAGATGGAGGCAGTCTGTTTACAGCAGCCAGTTTTCGTGCGTTTCTGAAGGTCAGGTCTTGACTGAGAATTGATTTCTTTTGTATCTTTGTTAGTTTGATTTGGACAGTTGATCCGCGCCGAGAGTTAGATCGCGCCACTGAGGTGTTGTTCGGCTCTGAACAAATATTTTTTTTGTGCCTGCTCTATGTCTATAAGGAGAATGAAAGAGATCATATCAGCAGATTTTCTAGTGTTAGCGTTTCACATCCGTTCTAAGTGGCTAGGAATCAGTCCTTCTCCTTCGCTTGAACAGTGGCTTTCTTGCGCAATTCGTTGCCCACTATTTTCGCGCAGGAACTAATATACACAACCAAATGCGACCTGAATAAATGAAGTTCGGCTATGTACGTCGGCGCCTCCCCCGTAAACCCTTGACCTACAGATGTCTAAACACGAAAGGGCTCTCCTACTGAACACACAGCTGCACCTCACCATAGTGACGACTTGCTCCTTCACTCATATTAACGCAGATAAACCATCCAAGCAAGAAGTGACGGCGGGATTGAGAAACACCTGCAGTATTAAGGCAATCCTGTACTTTCCGTAGACCCGTCGCTAGATTACGCACAAAAATCAGCGAAAAAATCTCGCAAAATCGCTGAAAATCGCAGTAAATCGCGCAATCGCGATTAATCAGCGAAACCGTGCGACAGTGATCGCGACTCCGGACATCAGCCTAAAGAGAAACATTGTTAGAAAACTATTTGCCCAAATGAGTTTCGCCTGCACCAGGAAGCCAGCCTATACAAATCCCCGCAGAGTTTCGGAGTTTCCCAACCCTGCAATACTTCCCCCGGCCCGAAAATCCATGCCTGGATGCCCTTCCCCCCTAAAAATCAAGTTCCAAAATCTTTCCCAAGAAACCCAACGGCTTACGGTTATTAGCTGTAGCCCTCGGCGGAATTTGTGACATCGCATCACAGAGAGAGCTTATTAAGCCACTATTCTATCCCTGACTAGTCATAATACTAATTGCGGAAGGAATTAGCGTGATTTCTTTAAGCAGAAAATTTATCTACATGCTAAAAAATTTGGCCTATTACTTCTTGAAGAAAAGCTATGTAGAAAAGAATGTCGTCGAAAAGGAGGTCCTTAAAATTCGCCTATTGCGACCTTTTGCCCATTTGGTATTATCTCTACTAGACTGCGAGAATTCATAGCGGCCGCATAGAATCTTGGGAGTCTTCGTGAGCCCCGAAGATCTGTTTTAAGCCCCCACGACTCTACGTGGGGTAGGTGGCCGGGGAGTGAATGGAGCGCAAATAACAACTTCCTAAAAGTCCCTGTTTCTAGTCCTTCCTTCGCAATTTCAGTTGACAGCATCGCCTCGTTTTCTTCCTTTCTTTTGCGTGCTTATTTTCCGGTTGAAATAGATCTCAGGATCCTGTCAACCAGCCTTGTCCAAGTTACTGGTCCCCACTTGTATAGCACCAACGCAAATCCCAACCGTCTGAAATCGGTACTAAGGGCATCAGCAAGGCACACCAAATGAATACCGCTGATTGTGAAATGCAAGCGCTTGCACAACATATAACCATTGAGGTAACGAAACCCCTTAGACCGACGTCATAGTCGGCGACGGACCAAGCGATGGAGCGATCGCGATCGCTCCATCGCTTGTCCGTCGCTTGCCAATCGCTCTCGGTCGAGCGATTGGCAAGCGATTGCGCAATGTGCACAAGCGACGGGCGATTGGCCCCGCCCCCAGTCAATGCAGTCGGCTGCGGTATCGATCGAGCAGAGCCATTGCCCGTCGCTTGTGCACTTTGCAAGCGATTGCGCAATCGCTTGCCAATCGCTCGACCAAGAGCGATTGGCAAGCGACGGACAAGCGATGGAGCGATCGCGATCGCTCCATCGCTTGGTCCGTCGCCGACTATGACGTCGGTCTAGCAACGCACCCGAAAAATTTAAAAAGTCCAGCTTTAGGGAAGATACACGGCAGAAACCAAGCTGCAATACTGATGGAACACCCCATATACTAACCTTGATGTAAATTCAGGACAAGCGCAAGCAATGCGAGAAAGGCCTCAGCTTTGATAAATTTCCCATTTTTCCCACACGTCCCGGAAATATTAGAGCACAGTTGAAGCAGAAGCGGGAAAGAAAGGGACCAGATAACTCTGGACGGTGATAACGAAAATAAGCACGCAAAGGAAGAAGAAAAGTAGCTGAAAACGCAAGAAGACTAGAAACAGGACTTAGTATTTGTTAATCTGCCACTATAGGCGGTAAAACAAATGCGCCCTAATTCAGTCCAGAAGTACCAAATGAAAGCAATGCGAATTTAGGATCTTTCCCTTCACATACTTTCACTCAAAGAAACCAAATGAGAAAAATCTAAAAAAAATCAAATGGTTAATGCAATAGCAATACCTGGTGATCAACGCGAGGGTCAGAAATAACCAGAAGCCGTGGTTCCTTGAAAGATTTTTGGATCTGATTAGTGAGGCATCCAGGACTGAATCGGCCGAAGATTGCAGTAGCGCCCGTGTGGGCAGCGAACTTGAGGAGAGCCCTCTGAGCATAGGGTCGAGCCGAGACGACGACCACATCAGCGGGATTCTCGACAGCAGCGATGGCACGAGCCGCGAAGAGAAGCTTCTCCCAAGTCTTCTTCAAATTGATAATGTACGTTCCTAGAAAAGAAAATTGTTAGCGAAACACTCAATTGGATCCGGTCAACTGACAATACCAAACCAACAAAAACAAAAACATCGAGAACTGACCATCAAAACGACGTCTGTAAACATACTGCTCCATCTGGAAGTCCACATTAGCAGAGCCGATGTGGGCTTGAGTGGCAATAAGCTTCAGCACATCGTCTTCAGAAAGGGCGAACGGTTCGAACCCGCCCGACATGTTTACCGAAAACAATAAGGGTAGACAGTTCAAGGCACAATTTTGCTAGTGACGAAAAAGAAATATAGGAAATAGGAAATACGATACAAAATATAGGAAATCATTCGTAAACAAGAATGTGTAGACGTAAACTGCACGAACAATTTTCATTTCTAAATTTGAGAAGTTAATAAGTCAACAACTAACAAGAAATCAAGACGAGAAGGTTCAAAAACAGAGTTGGAAATGAGGAAAATAATTTAGGTAAACCTGTCAAGTCAAATACTCACAGAAAGGCTACAAAAGCAATGCAACAAAGAACAAAAACAAGCCCAATCACCAAGGTCAAAATTTCAACCTTTAAGTGACTAACAACAATAAAACGAAATGATATAAGGTTTTAAATAATGTTTTAGAAAGCTTCAAAATTGAAAACACCCCAAAATATGAGCCACAGCGATTTCGCTGCCGTCCGGTCCACGGTGGAGATTTGATACTCAGCAAACGACTTTTAAAGTGGAGTCATGTATGGAAAACGTGTCTACGGTAGATTGTCAACATTGATAGTTGAGCAGCTGAAACTCGTCCCTGTGCCGCGTAGGCAAATCGTTTGAAACTCATTACTCATTGGTTTTAATTCCTGTTGAGGACTAGCATAGTATTAAATTAGTCCTGAAGACTGGATTTTCATTTTTTGTTAGGGAAATCAGTGCATATATTATACATCGAAATTGTCCCGCAATCAAAATAAGTTCTCTGTATAAGTTTTGCAAGATATCTTTCAGAATCTCACCCGTAATTTTTCAAATATGTCTGGCGTCACTGTGCTACGAGGGGCATCGCCGCGCGCGACGTGCGACCAACAGAAATTACTGTGCCAGGGAGTGACCAATTCAAGGGGGGGTTGGGGGTGAGGAAGTACACATACATGCGTGTAGAACTGAATGTCGTAAAGCCGCAATTTCTATTTCGTGCTTGCCGCAACGCCCGCGCGCGACGGCCCCCTTCTGAGTCAATAGCCCCTATGATGGGTTCGACTTTAACCAGTTTGACAGCATGTGGTGTTTTTGATTCAAGTCTCAACTCTTCCATAGATCATTTCTTGACCTCTCTTTTTAGGTTTTGTCTTTCATGATGATGATGGTGCTTTCATGATATGACGTCTCTTATGATTACTCATGGATCATCCTGCGCGCCTATTGCTTGAAAGCATATTCGGCGCAATGTGGCTCTGGGGTGGAGGTCAGATATCACGATTTTTCAGTTCTGGGACTAAGCGGAGGGAGAAAGGGAATCCGAGCTGCGTAAGCAATATTTATTAGCTCTGGAATTCGTCCCTGTGAGTTAGACTTAGTCCTAGTGGCCTTCCGATATATTGCTCCCCTCGGAGGCACATTGCGCCGCATATTCTACCCACGGTTTGATTGTGTGGCTGTGCAGTTATGTTTTCATCAAAACACTATTTCCTTTCCAATTGCGTGTTTCGGAAAATAATGAAGTAAAAGCAAAACAGTAAACCAGTTGTATAATGGGTGCCAGTGCCGGAGTTAGCTATTAAGGATGCCTCAGACCGCCGTCACACTCGGCGACGGACAAGCGATGGAGCGATCGCGATCGCTCCATCGCTTGCCCGTCGCCGAGTGTGACGGCGGTCTCAGGAATCTGCTGTTCGTGGAATCCGGACTTCTAAGGGCCGAGTCATACTTCTTATCGTGTGATCGCATTCTTGATATGTGTCTGCTCCAATTTCAAACTACAAAATGAATGCAATAGTATGTTCGACTCAAGGGCTCCTCATTAATTTTTTGACTAGTGTAATATTGGGTCATTGATTCCAAGCTTACAAGGCATGCTCCAGGATCAAAGTGGTATGGTTCTAGCACACGAACATGAAAGTATTGATGCGAAATAGGCTGGCAGTAAAGAAGAAAGGAAAAGAATCCGTCAAAAACGCTTAGGTTAAGGGCTTGTTCACCTTCGTAATGCGGCTGTGCTAAGGCAATGAGAGACTGAGCGCGGAGAGGAGAGTATGAGGCGAGAGAGCGCAACAGATGAGAGGCGCCAGACACCAGCAGACGGAGAACATTGCAGCTGAAGCAATTAGCTTTGCAAGGCCCTAGCGCTGGCTTTTTGCGGAGCTGGCTCCTTTGGGCAAATACCGGCTGTAAATATCGGCCAAGCTGGCTTCATAGAGGGACTTCACCAGAAATATATCTTTTTCGTATCACTACTGGTACCCTCAAGTTTCATCTTTTTTTCCACCATTTCGGGGTTCGCAGTCTCTCGGTTTTGTAATAGCTGACTAGTATCTAATGCTCAAAGGCTTTCGCGGCGTCATAGTATAGAACCAATTACTGCTTCATTACTGAGTGCCTCTAGGTTTAGCTCACTTTTTGATTGTCATGAATAGTTTAAACCTCCTGCATCCCGTAATTGTCAACTTGGCGCAGGTGCAACACACACCATCTAGAAGTCGGAAATCACGTGCTTATTGGTCATTTTCAAGCTGCTGGCACGTGTCTCACAAGACATGCCCAGCCGTGGGAAACGGAAAATAACAACTTAGGTAATTAGGTAGCGTGGAAAAGTGCCGAGCCGTTGGCTCGAAATGGGCCATTTGAAAATTGTGATTGTTACACAGCTTTCGTGGATGATTGGAACCTAGAGACTACTAACTCTGTCTGTTTTATAGTTTATGGATATTCCAGTTCCAGTTTGTGTGTTGGAAGTTTTACCATACCAGCCACAGTGGACTGGCCATGGGACTACGCGATAGCACGGCTGTTAGCCATTGTTATAATAGAGCGGTTAGGAACGGGTTGTGGTGTGATACTTATTCAACAAAAGGTACATCGGATGCGATTATATTTATTCATCGCGCGCACCGGGATCACAGAGTTTTTAGAAGCACACACTCAACCTTAAATTCGCAGGATCATCCAATATAAAATTCACGGTTGAGGAACCAAATGAGGAGGGATTTCTCCCTTTCCTCAATACAAAAGTTAGAATCGAAAATGGAGCCAAACAGCTTTCTTGGTATAAGAAGCCAGCGTCAAAAAATGTACTACTTACATGCCAGAAGCTGTCACCCCTCATATATGAAAGCGAACGTAGTTCGCAATTTATTAAAAACAAAAGAAAAAGTATGCACACAAAGATGGGAAGAAGTAGATGTCGCGGTGGACCAAATTTTGAGGGACAATGGCTACATAAGTACACATGTTCACAATATTGGCACATGGAGACAGACACACTCAACACCAGATGGTGTTCCTATGGTAATGCCGTATCTGAACGAGAGTACGGCACAAAAAGTTAATGGTGTGGTCAAAAGGTCAAAGCTCCCCATACGCCTTATATTCCGTCCACCACCCAATCTCAGACATCTACTAACCTATTCAAGACCGTATGAAGAAAAATGTGGCAGGAGGAATTGTGCATACTGCAACGACAATAAAATTTGCGCACCGTGAGGCGGTAACTACCGATATATTTAGATAGATGCAAAGAGATGCGGACAGAAGTACGTTGGGGGGAAACAAAAAGGCCTCTTTATAAGCGTTTGGATGAACACAGAAGGGCATTACAAAACCCAGCCTCGTATCCAAACAGCAGCTTCTCCAAGCACCGCACCACAAAGCACACATTTGGGGAACCGCCTTCGTTGACCATTAAGGTGCTACACCGCTCCATAGGGAACCCGGTGGAAAGGAGGCTATTGGAGGCATTAGAAATAAGAAAACTATCACCCGAAATAAATAGTAAGGACGAACTACGTGACGCTCTACAACTATTAAATTAACTACGTGCCCAATGGCATATGGTTTTTCAATATCACATGCAATGACCGTCACAGTCCGTCCGCTACTATTTAAGCAGAGGGTGAGCGGTAGGTCACTTAATTCCACTCCAACGGCGCGGCTCCCGTAAGGGCAGCTAAATCCTTGGCTGAGGCATACACATGTAGGTACATATATGGGTTCGGGAAACAATCATATTGTTTTTACCAGTGATTAAATCAATGTATTTCAGGCCTGAAGAAGGTGTTAAACATAAATCAATGTATTTCAGGCCTGAAGAAGGTGTTAAACACCGAAATATAGCAGAAGATTTCAAAGGAGTTCTTTTGAAACTTTTTCGTGTTTTTTGGAATTTTGGAGTTTTTTGAATATTTTGCGAACTTTTGGGACTCTTTTGAAATAAATTTTGGTGCCTCTTTGTGTTTTTATTAACGCTTTAGTGCTTCAGTTATTGTTAGCACCGTCTAATTTCTCCTTCATCCATCATTTGTTGCTAAGGATAGATGAGGTAGCACTGCGCTCGTTTTGCACGCGATAAAAAACTGGTTTTCTATGACTTCCTGTCCTGACTAGTACGTAGCCCAATGTCCTATTTTTGTTCCTCGCCACACGTAACTTCTTGTTGAAAATTTGGTATTTTCAACAAACGACACAATTTTTAGGTGTGGTTTCATGTGCCACGTATCATTTCACTTGTGCCTTTCATTGTGCTGCGTATTTGTCCGGTAAACGTCCTGCTAAATTTTCTGTGAATCATGGAGGATACCCCAAGGAGGGAAACAAATGGGTCAGTTCGTAGCTGAATTTATAACGTTGGAAACCTTTCAAGTCACGAAGATTGCTGCATTTTTCAGGAATGAGTATGCGTCTATTCTTAGCAATCAACTCACCCTCGATATCCTCACAAATTTCTGTCTGAGAGGTGGTTTGCGCACGACCACTCTTCGATCGATTGCCTGGAGGGGTAAGATAACGTGACACAAGTATTTGTTTCGTTTAGCAGAATTAGGCTTTCGTAGTCCATCATTTGCACACTGTAAGCATTTTTCCTCCAACCGGGGCAAAAAAATGCTTCTCTTTACCAGAGTTGCAAAATACCTGTTGTCATTTTTTCTTTATCTTCTATTTTTTTTCATATTTAAGGAAGTTTTTTTTTCTTCGTTTGATGGAATACCAAACGATTGGGGGGGGGGTGAAGGGGGGGGGGGGAACGTAATCAGTGGATAACCTGTTCACCTCTGAAAGCGGGAGCATTCTGAGAGACCTCGCTAGATCGATAAGAGCTACACGCTCTTTCATTGAAAAGTGGCAGCATTGCTTAACCTCATCTTTTCTTGACCCATAGAAGCACCACCGTACTGTTGGAAGGACAGTAGAACCAATAGTTTTAGGGGTCATGCAGTGGGGGGGGGGTGGACATGCGGTGCGACAGTTGATATTGCATAAGGCTGATGTCAGAGTCCGCGATCCGTCGCAGGTTTCGCTGATTTTCGCGATTTGCGCGATTTTCGCGACGGCGAAACCGCAAAATTGCAATAAACATTTGAAACACTGAATATGAAACAAGTGGAATCATGAGCAGTCGTCATTCAGCCATCACTATCAAGCAGAAGTGGCGGCAGGATTGGAGAACACCTTGCAGTATTGATCGGGCACTTGTGATTTCCGTGACCCGTCGCGTGAATCGCGCAAATCGCGCAAATCGCGAAAATCAGCGAAACCTGCGACGGATCGCGGACTCTGACACCAGCCTAAAGGAATCCACTTTCGCCGGAGAAGGGAACTCCGAGATGAGTGTACAAGCGGCTCGAGGACTTCGGGGATTTTCTTCTTCTGCTAGGTTGGAATTTCTGGAGGCGGCTACTACTGCTGCACCACATGCCTCTCCCTTCACTAGATAGGACCCGTTTTTACTTTTTTTGGACTCATCTTTTCTTTCAATGCAATGCATCCTTTTTCAGATTCATTTGAAGTGTTTACCTATATCGAAGGTGGAGTGGGTTACGGTTACCACTCGCGCTAGGGACTTATATGCGTCACTCAAACAAAAGAACATTCCCAATCCGCATGATGATCGATTTTGTCAAGATCCTCAAATAAATAACCCTCTTGATCAGACGGATCATGTGAGTTGCTTAGTCTTTATGTTTAGATTGCACTGCAGTGTAACGAAAGATAAAGCTGTGTTGTATAATTTCTTTCACAACGCTGTTTCTGATAAGGTCGCTTCTCAGAATCCATGGCAGCAGTACTTTGCTGACCACGATTTGCGAGATCTAATATTGAAAGATGTTGGGAGAACGTAGGTTGTTCACGAATTCAGTTTTCATAACTTGTGCACATTAAAATTTTCTTAAAACATTAAGTAAGTTGCAGTTTTCCTGAGCTGGAGTTCTTTCAACAAGATCATATCCGTCGAATGATGTGCGACATTCTTTTGATTTATGCGAAGGAAAATCCTTTTGTTTCGTATAAACAGGTATGACGTTTCGATTACTATACCTTTACGAAGTCTGAAAAAAATAGTTCAGGGAATGCATGAGATTCTCGCTCCTCTTATGTTCGTCCTGTTTTCTGACCAGCAGTCATTTTGTCATTGCCTGGAAACTGGCGGTTTGAAGTAAGTTGCCTGTTAGGTTACAATCGCTCTAGAAATACAGAAATAAGGCTGGCAGCAAAATGGAAGAACGGTTCTCACGATTTTCTCTTTCTCAAAAGACGATTTAAACACCTTGCAGCTCGAGAGTCGAGTTGCTATGTATCGACCATGTTGTCGCACGATCGCATTATCGACACATCTATTCTGCACTCGAACTGCAATGTATGATTCAACCCTGAGGTCGCAAGAGTGGTCTTCCATTCATAGAAGTATAATACTAAGCTTACCGCATGCCCTAAACCATTTCGGTGGGCATCGCTCGTTGATATATCGTTTGACAATGACAGTGAAAATGCAGTTTGTAGAAAGGAACACTCCTTATTGTTTCATTCTTAGTACTAGAAAGCACTTCTCCGGACTCAACAGAGGATTAGATAATGCGTCAACGGCTCATTTCTGGTGTATTATTGATTAGGATCGTTGAATATTCTACATCCCCACCCAATCCAATTGTTTGCACGTGGTCATCCACCTCTGGAGTTTCCTCACCCTCAGGCCTAGGCAAAACTCCATCCACCAGGTCAGGACCGTTCCGAGGACCATGGCAGGCGGAAATGTGAAAGCATTTCAGGGTTTCTCACCCATTACACCGATATTTATCAGAAGTCTACTTTAAATGAGTCGATTACGTGTCGTGAGCGCTGTAATCCTTATCTTGAGTATTGGAGAGCACAATGGAGTGCCCCTTCTCCTGACCTTAATTTTCCCCTGGCTTTCTAAGGAAGTTAGTGAAAGAGTTCCTCGCAACTTCGCTGTTTATTAGAGATCGATTGTTTCAGAATGCTATCGGATGAAGATCGCTCCATTCTCTCCCACGTATATGATCCAGAACATCTCGAAAGCGACAGCTAGTATGTTCCGAAATATAGCCCGCTCCTTTGCTTCCTTTTTGTTTGCAAATTGCAAATTTGAGTGATTTGCATTTGTAGTGGAATGTTTTGTGAAATAATGCTAGAGGTAACGAAATGGTACGAAGACGGTTCTCCACCAGCGACAACACCGAAGCAGCTTATCTCAACACACACATAAGCAAGTTAAAAACACTATATGTGAGTGAGCGCTTACATCATACAGCGACTTTGCACCAGCCAGAAGAGAACGTAAAGGGACATGTAGGAATATAGATGAGGGAATAAGGATGAAAATGTATGGAAAAACCCGAAAGCATGTAAGGATGTGGGCTAGCCAGAATCTTAACCTCGAGAGAGTTACAACACAATCGAGCGGGAATGCCATTCACCAATTGTTGGATCTTCACATCTTGAAAGGCGTAGTCAAGCCTGTATGAAAGCCGCCTCGCACACCAGTACTTGCAGTGTCAAATGCAGCCCCTACCGAACCGGTTGATGCGTGAACTGGCTGCAATCGCGTAACGCCTCAGGACTGTTGATCGCTGTTCACTGCTGACCACTTGAACTCTCTTGACATTCCCCCACAGTTATATGGGATGTAAGTCTGCTCTTCTACTTTCCGTTGTTATTCCATTTTTCATTTCCTTTCTATATGCTAGTGCACATATTTGTTATTTGGCGGTACTCACAATGTAAACTTTCTATTATGCGTCTTATTAAGTCGGTGGCTCCGGTTACTGTTCGGTCGAGAATTCGCAATTCATGACCTTTTGTACGTGTGGGATGTTTTGCTATGCGACAGGCCAGTGGCAAGAATGGTGGAGTGCATTTTCTTGGCGATGTTGGTGCAAATCCGACATTTGCGTAAGTTTTTTGCTTTTCTAAGGTTGGTCAGTGCCTTTATTGATATGATTTTGGTGAGGTGTTTTCGAAAAGAAAAATGTCCGGTATTTCTTCTTTAATTGGACTGTAGAGTTGTACAGGGTGCGCCAAAATTACGGAGACAACGCATGAGCAAACAATTTGAACTGATATTCACAGATGCTGTTTTCTTCTGTCCTAGTTTTGGTACTGTGGTGTAGAATTGTTTATGCTTACCTTGTTCAACCACCAAAATCTATGGTAGCTGCAGCGGTTGACTGATACTGACACCGTCCCTAAATCATTGGACTTCGACGTTGAGGGTTTTTGGCACGCGACAATTATCATCGTTTTGGTGTATACCCGAGCACTATCAATAGATGCTCCAAAGTGGTACAGGGGACAAGGAGCTGAATGCAGTCATTCTGGATGAGAAGGGCGTGTTTCTGTGGCGACCACGAACAATCTAAGGATTGTGTGCGATAGAATTTGCAGGTAGTTGACGCGCTGGTTTCACTGGATGTCACGAGAGATAGGAATCAGGGGGGCTCTTTTGGACTTATCAGAGCCCATTGCTATCCTGAGTTTATTTTCACTTTGAAAATCGTTGCTGGGCCTTCCATCAAGTAGGAGCTCCCGTTTACGAGGCAAGGGTGGTTCAGTACTAGTGCAGCATTGATGCAGAACCGATTTTTTCGACTTTGTCGGCTTAAACGGTGGTAGAACAGCATTTCAGATCTGAGCTCGATAGGGTACGCTGTCGGATCCGTTCTAGAAGCTGAGGCTTGCATAAAACACATTATGTCTAGGGATTCGTTGAAGAAACCGCTCTAAAATGAGCTTGACGAGTCCTACTCGCCACATTGCGTGCCACAGTCGATATAATTACTGTGGCATGTGCTGTCATTTTTGTGTCAAGAAACTTGTTTCCTGTCTCATACTTATGCAACTCGAAGTCGCGTCTTGCCTTATTAAGTCGGTGGCTCCGGTTACTGTTCGGTCGAGAATTCGCAATTCATGACCTTTTGTACGTGTGGGATGTTTTGCTATGCGACAGGCCAGTGGCAAGAATGGTGGAGTGCATTTTCTTGGCGATGTTGGTGCAAATCCGACATTTGCGTAAGTTTTTTGCTTTTCTAAGTTGGTCAGTGCCTTTATTGATATGATTTTGGTGAGGTGTTTTCGAAAAAAAAAAATGTCCGGTATTTCTTCTTTAATTCGATCTGTAGAGTTGTAATTATAATCCAAATTACGTGATAAGGAGCTTACGTGATTTACTTCTAATTGAGCATAGATCCAATCGATCTGAAGTGGGATCGGATGAGAGCGTTCAGCAGTGTTTATTCACTGGCGCGTTAGCTAGTAAACTGATAGCCAGGACCATATATCATTTACTGAAGATTTAATGAAGTCTCAACCGAGACTCAGTTTTCTACACTAAATCAAGGGTCAATCGGTTCTTTCCATTCCTTTCTATTGCATTTCTGTTGAATTATTACACGTTTCAGTTCTACAATCGGACTATGGCGGCTGTTTGCAATATTTGATGCGTTATCCTCCAATAGTAGATGTCTCAACATTCATTCAGCAAGCCCTCCATTATAGGAATCCAAAGGTATCACCCCTCCTTTCCATTTTTTTTACTGCACTGCAAGTCACCAGGGGTGTAGTGAAAAACGTCTTAGAACGTTTGCATGTGTTCTCTTTTCTTTTTTTCTTTTCTACTCAGTAGTTAGAATTTGACCGCGGAGATCTATGGATTACGCAGAGATCTCGCTAGTCCTTTTTTGCTGACTGAAGTGTAAAGCTTTTACGATTAAACACCCATTTTCCTGTCCAGACTCTTTGCTGCTCTTCTTCCATTTGATGCGCTGTGCGTCATAAATCGTCCCACGCGGAGCATTTCGTAGTAGGCAGCTGAATTCACAGAGGTTCCCTTTCTGTGGCAGTCTCAATGACAAATGCTTTTTGTGTAAACTTAAGGGACGGCAGTACGAATTGAAGCTACATACTGTCGATGTTCTATTAATTGAGCCATGCACACATTACTGTTTTATGGCGATTGCTGCACTTCGTTTAATTGAGAGCACTTAGTTCCATACCTTGAACAGTCGATGAGTTTTCGGGAGAACATAATTAAGATTCTGTCTGATTGCCCTGTCTGTGCAGCCTTCGCCAAAAATTTTGGTCCCGTGATATCACAACGATCGCGAGTTATGTAATCAAAGGAATTACAAAAAAGCATGTTGAGCCGGTCCTTTGATGACCGATGTTCAATTGCATTGGGTTGGTACTGAGAGTTGCAATTGACAAATGGTTGTTCAGAAAGTCTTCGAAGTAGATATTCGGATTTTTCTCATGTTTGGCAACCTTCAGAAATATGCGAAGCCTGCTTCTATCAACCAATTGGGAAACTTTTCGCATATGACCGTGACAGGTGCAGACCATCCCCAATCGCGTTCTGCGTTCAGGAGTTGCGGTTAACAATGAATGGGGCAGAGATGAGCCTCTGTAGTCTCCGACTAAACATTACTCTCTACGCATTCTTGCTCGAAGGTCAAAACAACTCGTGTTAGAAAGACCATGTCACGTAATTTTGCTCATTTTCATTTAATGAGCCACCGAACAAAATTATTAACTCCCTGTCATACTAATTTTAGCCCTACCTTTGTCGATGGTAAGAATTCAAGCGTATTAACGCTCTGCCCCATAACTCGAGAGAACTGCTTCAAATTACCACCAAGTCACCGTCGTGGGAAAGGGTATATTGGCTTTTGCGGAAATTTCGATTGATCTACATTTGCTTTTGGTATACGTTCAGGAACTTCGTCTAATGGAGGAGCAAGTGGCATGTCTTCAAATCCGGCTAAATGAGAAGGACGTCATTTTGAGCTCGCAAAGAACATTCGTGCGTTCAGGCGTGGAGTATTCATTCTTATTTACAGGTTTTATTTTTATGCACTTGCTATCTGCATCGCCCTTTTATCATCTGTTCTATGAACTTGTGTGAGTGCTCATCCAGGTCTGAATTTTTCGTATTTTGCGAGATCCCTTCCTCTTTTTTCTCACAATTTGTCTCATATCTTCACTCTTTCCACCACAATTCCTGTCCCAGTCACGGTTAGACTCCTGTCTTACTGAGTCAGACGAGGGCGCCGCATTTTGGAAGAAATGGGACAAACTGAATAAGCGGTCATTTCTTTTCGAATTTAAAGCAACAGTTCAGGAACGGTTTCGCGGGAAAAAACCACCAATAATGAAGTTGTAGATGAAAACCAGACGATTAATGTATGAAAAACTGGAAAAAAACGTCGGGGAGGGTCTTAGACAGGTACTCTCCCTCTGCCGCTCAGCAATGGATAAAGACGCACGTTGGACGAGTTGTCTGAACGTGCCCGCTGTAAACGCGCTCCATTTTTCAATCAATTTTCCCTGTGGTCCCAAAACGAGCACGATTGTCCAATGACGGCCGGCAAGGGGGCGGGATTGGGGAAATCCCCAAGAACATCCATGTTTGAGGGACTTTCCACCCTGTTTTTGAGTTTCTGAGGTAAGTTCGTTTATTATTTCCACTGCATATGTTCTTCACTAGGGCTCGTGTATCCCTCAGTAGTAGTGGCATTGAAATTTTCGGACCCTCCCTGAACTGTTGCTTTAACCGTTGAAATTTTGAAGTTTTCCAACTATTTTGAAACACATTAACGTACAACCCATCCACTTGACATTCTCTTTGTCAGGTCAGAAATCACTGACTAAATGACGCAATCACACGCACTGACATAACTCGAGGAATCGTATGGAGTCGCAGAGGTTAGCGATGGAGAGATTCGTATTTCTGGAATCCGGGCGCCTGTTTTCTCGACTCCTTTTTCATTTCCATTTCTTTCGATGTATTTTCCGTTTCCGTCGCCTTTGGTTTCCGTTATTCTTCACGCATATCCTTCTGGTCTTCACAAATCTCCGCTCTGCTTGTCCGCTTTTGCTTTCTGAGGTAGGATTTCTCGCATTCTTTTTGACGGGTGCATTCTAAGTCGTCACATGCTTGATCTCTCTATTCCAAGCTTTTTGTAACTGTGTATTCTTGTATTCTATACGAACATTATTTTGTTATAAACTATTAGGTACCGGATATCTTAGTGTCGCTTTTCTGAGTTCAGGAAGTTTTGGGGCCGATTACTATGGAAAATCAATATCCCAGAAGGCAGTTTTTGCTCATTAATATTGCGAAATATGTTGCTTACCGTCTTCTATTGTTGGTTCACAATTTAACTTTCCCCCAATTTTTATACTTTCTTCTGAAAATTCCTGGGTCCAGTGTGCAAATTCGCATGTGTGTACCAAATGCATCAAAATTCTTGCTGAGAGCTGTAACCTCCGCCCACCAAACCAGCATTGCATTTGATGGAGGGAATACTACCATTTAAAATGCTCATCGGTTTTTCACAGTTTTCTTAAAAGACAGTAAAGTCTTTGAAGGGATGCCCGCAACCGTCGCCAAAAAGGTGGTCCTAGCTAAATCAGTCAAAACGGGGCTGCACCAGTCTTGTGCTGGAATGGTAGGACACCCTAGCAGTTACTGATCGATGGTGCACAGACGCTCTAACGAAGTTGATTGACCAAGAAATTCTAATAAATGTGCTCATCTGCTACTCACGTGTGCTCAAAAAGGGTGCGTTTTTGACCCTATGTGGCAAAAAAGACTCCGGGAAAAATTGTCCAGTTGAGCTGGTAAGTAATAAATTTTCCACCAAACAGTGCAGACCCTACTCTAACTAAATGTATACATATTTTGTCCAGGCCCAACTGTTTAGCAAGGTAGAGGGATGATTTGTCAGATGATGTCAAATTCGACCTACCTCTCTTTTTCGTCTCAAAAAATTCCTAACTTTAATCGTACGAGGTTTTCACTCATACTGGTAAATGGGAAAGGGCTAATGAGTCATTCGATGGATATGCCGTTTCACTCACTGGATTTTGAATTAAAATATTGGTGGTCCGAAACTCGCGGTGAAAAAACGACACTAAGATATCCGGTACCTAATACTAGTCAGGATCAGCGTTGCCCTCTCTTTTGCTCTTGCTATTCCTACACTTCTTTTCCTCCCTCCAATTCCAGAATTTCCTCTTCCTCTTCTGTTCCTATTTTTTTCTCTTGAGGCATCTCTGTGCTTCATACTTTCCACTACCACACAAGCGCGAACTGAAGTTTATTTCAACTCTCTGCTCTGTTTCTGTAAAAACGAAACTGCATCCTTTTCAGATAACTGATAGTAGAGACAGCGTTGCGTCATTTGTGATCCGAGCTGCGTCAATTGCTGGGTTGTGCACGAAATTACTGGAAATTAGCAGTAATCTCACTGCTAGTACCGCCAATGGTGTAGGTTTGTGTTACTTCTCTATAACTGTATTTGAAGTATTTTTCCATTTTTTATTGTGTATATGTGTATTTCTGAGAGCATTTATAAAATGACAGGTCATTCCACTCCTCGACGTAACGACGATGAAGTGATAGAACGGCGTGGCAGCTCCATCGAGCTCCACCTCACCTCTGAATATTCACGGAGAGAATGAACTGGTTTTATGCTCAAGTATGGATGACAAAAAAGGGTGGTGGCTCTGAATGACACAAGTGGCTTTTCAGCAGCTCATTTCTGGGGGAGCATAAACTGTGAAAGGAATTCTCAAGGCGAGACTTGCAGACGGAGCTTTTTGGGGCGCTGTCCACCAAAGGCGTCTCCTCATAAGCCCCGCCTCTCTGCTGGTCGGACCGTTTTGCTTGAAGATTCGCCGTTAATTTCAAATGTGGGTCTGTGTCTGAGAGCGTAGAATAGAAGTCTCTCGAGGGAATAGTTATGCACAAAATTTGAAAGCGGCTCATTATGTAGAGTATCTTATGATTCCTTGTTATTCTAGATTTATTTCTTTGATTTGGTGATAGTCCCACTTTTGCTTCTAAAGATGAAGACAAGGTTGCCAAGATGCAGCCGCGGATCTAACAGTTCGACTGGTTCTAGTGCTAGACTTCTTGCCATAATTTATTATCTGTTCCATGTATTGACATGTACATAGAAATTACTTCATTCAGCCAGTCTTTTTTTTCTTCATTTCAGCACTATTTCAGTTTATTGTGATAAGTTGTGATCCTGAACGACCAATGCTTCAGCTAGTACTTTCCTCTATCATGTTACGGTGTTGTCCTCTTTACAAAGGAGACAGCTGTGCTTCGGCTAGCTCTATTCTATCCTACCTTTTAGAATCCTATCTCTAAGCTTAGTTCTGTGAATTTGATTCTGCGAAGTGTTTGGTTTCTTGTTGGGTAGACTTGCACTAGCGATAAATTTTACGAACATTATGGTATTTTAAAAGGCAAGATTCGAGCTTAAACTGATGAGGTAATTCTATACAAATGTGATGTAGGGGTGGTAGGTGGACCGCCAGTGTAGAAAAAAGAAAAAAAATTCGTGAAATACACAGGAAATGCGAGCCTTTTGCTCTACGTTGCAGAGAAGTTCAAAAGGCCGGCAGGGAGATGAGAGATAATGTGAGCGCGGAGGAGCGGTTAGAGAGAATTTCGAGAAGAGAGAGCAAGCAGATTCACACTTGCC